AAACCGCCCTTACCTATAAAATTTCAGAAAGCAAAGCTCTGATAAGATTCAAGGTACCTAGAAAAAATGTTGAAACGTACCCTTTTTTCAGAGTCCTTTCGTTGTAGTAATAACAAAATGCAAAAGTTATCATAGACAGGGCATCAATCAAGAACATGAACTTGTACATCAAAATCATTCGTGATCTTGTCGAAAGCGGTATGCCACCACATTGGTACTGGATTTCATGGGGATCCATTCCACCGAGACCCCATACGACGCACAAAATTGAGGCGACTACCTAAACTTTGGCATTGATCACATTCGTCATATACACCATCGACGGCAGAAATTCAAAATGTGAATTCGTTAGAGAAGGAGGGTGAAGCCCCAGTTCGTGGGAGCCACTCCATTGTGCTCTCCAATACTAAGAATAAGGATGAGTTTCATGACACGTAATCGATTCATTTAAAATTACTTCTGATAAGGACCGGTGTAGTGTGGAAGTACTCCTAAGGTGCTTTCAGATTTCGCCTGCTGTGGTCCAAGGAAATGGTCCTGAACTAGGGTATGGACATCCTTTCCTAGGCGCAAGGGTGTAGGAGCCCAGGGTGGACGATCACATGCCATAAATTGCCTAGGATGTGAGCAGGATGTGCGTGATGTAGGGCATACACCGGTCCTTATCAAAAGTGCACTTGAAATGAGTCGTTTACCTATTATCTTATCCATAGGTTAAAGTCCAAAGGAGTGCTCTCTAGTACTACGGATAAGATAACAGGGAGTGCCCCCCCCCTCCCCCAAATGGACTTTCAACGATAATTAGCATCTTGACTTGAATTTCATGTAAGCTTCCTTTAATCCCTAGACTTCATGCGGCACCACTGTTCGCAATTCGCAATGTTCGGTTTTTCATTTCATAACCTCCTTTTCGAAATGGTGTAGTGGGATGTAGAGCTGCTCACGGCGCACAAGGTTTGGAGATCGAGTCTTCTCCCCCTACGTCGTCCAGGCCAACCAAGCCTTCCATCCCTCCGGGGTCGGTTATTGGTACCAGACTTGTCTGGGAGGATAACAAACACTGACTTGTACATCGGCTGGCCCCCGCAAGTCATTGTATAGGCCACATCGCATTCAAATGCTCACTACGAATCTAAAAGAATTAGGAATGCGTGG